GGGGCGTCTCCAATAGGGGGCCCCAAATTGGCGCCAGTCAAATGGGCCACCACAGTAGCACGGCCCTTTCTGTACCCTGCGGTATGACAAACAATTGGTTGAGTCCAGTTTAACTTTAATAGATTCCATAAAGTTTACAAAATAGGTAGGTTTGGACAATTACAAAAGGTTGGCATTGACCCGTAAACGGGTCTCTCCCGTCGTATGAAAATAATCAATTTATTTGGCCCGCAAAGACCATTGACTGTTCATTTTCTCCGTCTGGTCTGCCTATCAACCAACGTCTGCAAAGTGATTCTGTACACCGTAAGTGAAGAGGGAAGCAAGGCAATGTCTCTCGTCAACCTCACATTTCCATTGTCTATATTTGCTCTTCTTTCAATATCTATTTCTAGATGAACTAACCTTGGACCAACTTTATTTGAGAATCTATAGAGTTAAAAATCATATATATAAATGTTTAAAGTGCTAATATTATACGGATCATTGCTTATGTGAAACCTCGTATAATCGTCGCCTATACCACATATAATGTAGGCCGATTTTGGATCATGAAACCAGCAAGCTACAAGTGCAAAAGGAATCAAATATTAGAACATTTGTACAGCTAATTCCGAAAATTATATGGTCACTGAAATCATAATAGATTCTGAGTGCCGGCCATGAGTTGCTTCTATTTCTAAAAGTTCTGGAATATGAAAATTGTCAATATTTTTTTTCGTTTTTTTGTAAAATGTGATTTATAGAAATATTTTTTGTATGGGTCTTCTTATAATTAATGTATAAAATAGCATAATAGTAAATAGAGTGAAATATTGGTGGTATGGCTCTTCCTACTTTATTGAGTATAATTGTAGTTGACAGTATTACCCATTTTAAACACAAGTTTTTAGTTGAATAGATTTATAAATGGAATCTTGCAAGTTGGTTTAGTGGTGGACCCGCTGGACCAACCAACCAACAAACTAAGTGCTTAAATATAAAAATGGGTAATCAGCAATCACACTCTAATCAACTCATATCTCCATATTTCCAATTGCACATTTATTGCTTCCTTTATTTCAGATTCCTATGAAACCAAAAACACTAGATGAGGTTGACCGTGGAATAGAGATATAAGCTCAATTTCATATTAGGTCATTTAATTTAAGTAAAATCTCAATTCGATCACTTAACTTCAATTTTACTTCCAATATTAGTCATTATGTTCGTTACCATTCTTAAGGGAGGCGTCAAACATGGAGAAGAGTAAAATAAAATTAACAAATATATCAATCGCACGAACCACGAAGTAAGAGACTCCACCGAAACAAGGAATTATTGGGAGACATTGTTGGCACAATCTAGTTATACTTCCGGAGGATTAAATTAATATGTGCTTAAAAGATTATTAAAATTCTTTTACCAGCATCAAGAGTAATATCATACTGGTAATGCTGGCCAAGAGGAATTGAACTTCTTCCCCCAAATAGTTCAGTTATAGTGTTATGTTAATTGATTGATCATCGACTTAAATCTTATTTAGAGCGATTCAATTTAATTTGAGGCCTATCTCAGCCAACATTTGAGATTGACAAGTACCAACAAACAATGCTCAACTCAAATGCTTGTTTGATATAGATTTTAAGCCAATTAAAATATTAAAAAAATTATCGTTATTTCACTATTCCAACCGTCATTTTTGAATTATAATCTCACAGATAGAACCCACTTTATCTTTAATGGTAAAAAAATTAATTATCAAAATTCCTACCAAACAAGCACCGAATCTTTGGCTTGTGACCATGAGCCGAGCACAAGCTCTCCCATATGTCGACGAGTCAGGTTATTTTTTATTTATTTAAAAAATATTAAATTAAGATAAAAACGAACTAATCCACGAGCTCAAGACGAGCAGGCTCATTAGAATTTTTGAATTTGATTTGAGTCCATAACTCCTCTCAATATGAGTCAAAACATTCTACAGACAAGTGGAGATGAACCAAGCTAGTGAACGATTCGACCTTTTTCACAGTCTCGTGTTTTCACAATTAGGATGAAAAAAAGAAAGTAGGCAGTCCCAAACATGCTATGCACGCAGTTGTAAGGCGGCTGTGACAAGTCACAAAAGAATCATTACATACCGGTAAATAAAGCAGTCGACATCACGACTACAGACAGACATAGTAGTAGCAAATCACAGTAACTGCTGACTCATCCTCTTTCTATTAGGTAATGCTTCTCGTGCTTATCGTTCTTCTTGTGTTTATCGTTTTCTTCTAATTAAGTCATTGTTTGAATCATATTCTTTTTAAAATTCATTTTCAACCATACATTTTTTAATAAAATAATATTAGATGTAAATTCAAAATATTTCTTAATTTTTAAGTACACATTCTCTGTCAATTTACTGTTCAGAATGGATTCTTTACCCTAAAATGGAAATCAAACAAGGGCTAACCATGTAAATGGCAAATAAAGCAACCTATAAATTATAATCATTAATGTCAAAATGGTCCTTAAACTATCATAGAATAGAAGTAGACAAACGTACTCATACTTTGATTTAATTTATGAGTAGAAACCACGCTAAGATTATTGGCTCACGCTATTTAGTATTTACATACATCCATTGATTTCTAACTTTATTGATTTTTCATCTTTCTTGCATTTCCCATACCTATGTGGCTATGTTATACACATTAGTAATTAATATATAGAAATCTCAAAGGGCAGGTTTGACCTGTGGAGATTGAAATTCCGGCACCGGCTTCCATTGACAAAGCTCAGCATGCTGGAATTGGATAGCCATTCCATTTATTAGGTTTAGAATTCTATAATAATCCCTCCTGTTGGAGCTCTGTGGGGAATTCCCTTCCTCCTTTTTCCACTTGTGCAAGTCTGAGGGGGCGTTGATGGACTAAAATTCTGTATTTTGTTCTTCATCATACGTTTAATACCGTTAATGGATTCTTCCGAGTCTGAACCACCCACATCCACATCCAAGCGTATATTCTTCTTTGATGTCCCCGCAATCTGATAGGATAATAAGGAAAACGAATCAGATTCCAATCGATTAACATTCTGAAAGACGAATAAATAATAATAAGAATAATACCTTGCAGCCGAGGGAGCAGAAATTGAAGGAATCGAGGAGGCTGCGATCGCAGACTCGGCAAGTGTTGGTGACGCCTTTACCTGGCCTTGGCTGTGGCCGTTCGTTTAGAAACACGATTTTGGCACTGTTGATAATGTAGGTTTGAACCCCAGTTATGTCCAAATACTTTTGAATCTCAGAGACCCTTATCACATCATGGTAAGATGACCTCCTAATCTGTTATCCAACAACAACAAATTAATTCATTCGTCTGTACTGAAATTAGAAATAGTTTTCGCTGATTGATTGAGTTGGGGACCTGAATAGCTCGATGGTCTTTGTGTACATTGAGGCAGAGGGAACAGAGAGCTCCATTCATACAGTCCAAGCAATACATATTGCATTCGCTCTTGTGACCACTGGCATGAACCTTGCATTGACCGAAGAAACTTGTTTGCAGAAGTGGACGGAGCCACGATGGCCACTTCCGGCAATCTTCACCTCTAAATTCACCCTATTTCAGATCAATAAAACACAGATCTCAATCACCATAATGAATAAATCAAATTATACATACACACATATACATATATTGGACAAACCATGATTTCTTGGAATTAATGGTCTTGAGGAAATTAAGTTCCTTAAGTAGAACAAGGGAAGAAGAGGACGAATAGAGAAAAGAAAGAAGATGGAGGGGGAGAAGTTTCTTCAGTGTTGTATTGGAGTGGGTGGGGGAAATGGGTTGTGCTTATCTGACCAAGAAAGTCCACAATCGAACCTGCCTCCGAACGCAAACCAATAATTCAAGGAACTGGAGTATTTACTTTTCATTCATGGTCACTCAACTTTAACAAAAATTTGCAATTGCGTAAATTAAATGTTAATTTGTCTTACTCAACTTGAATTTGGTTTCAAATTTTGCTATACTACCACGGTCAATGCCACTTTTCATCCTCGAAACTGATGAAAATTTTACTTAGTTGATAGTTCTTAAATAAATAAGAGTCCGTTTGATTGCAAAAGTGAAAAAGACAAACAAATTCTATGTAAGTTTGAAAATGAAAAACCACCAAAAATCATAGGAATTCTATTTCCATTCAATTGGCCAAAAACATGCTTTAAGTGTTAGTACCTTTGAAGAAACTCCATTTTCACTTTCGTATCAAACAATCAAAGTAGAAAACAAATTCCTTGAATGAGACATTTTTCACAGAATTTTAATGCTATCAAAAGGACCCGAAGAGTAGTGTTATCAATCTAAAACAATTTTAAGTAAATAATTGATTTATCATCTTAAGTGGAAGTACCCCTGGACAGATGTGATCATCGATCTAGATAAACAATTATTCAATAATTAATGTTCCATTGAACCTAGAAAATGAAAACGATATTCAAATTAGCATGATGCTAGTGATTACATGGAACATTGAAGCTTCTGTAGGATATGATTGTCGATTAAACAATTTTCATCAATAGAGATTTTTTCCCTTTTTTGTTCTCATTTTTTAAAAATCATTTTTTCTTAAATTCATTTATACCATACATTTCATGAAACTCACAATTTTTATCAATTTTTCAATTATACATTTCGTCATTTTTTGTTAAAAATTTATAATTTTTTTATTTTTAGCTAAACCGAACAGAGCAAATTAAAAGTCAAGGGGCTGTGTATGAAATTTACTTACTTATAATCCTGAATCTAATTATATTTGGAAACTGATGTTTGGACAAAAATTAAAAAATATAAGTTCCTTGTTGAATTTGGCCACTTGGGGGTTGGGTTGTGGCACTATTATAACATATCTAGTGATCAAAAAAACTCACCCCACCCTACCCCGAGCTATTGGGGACGTGGGGCGGTGCGGGGCGTGATATAACTCATCGCTCCAAACCCATCTTGTGAAGAGAAAAAGAAAATTAAAAATAATTTTATTTTTGAAACTGATGCCACTGTTTCCAAAGTTCAGTAATTAGTAAGAGTATTTAACCCATTATTATTACAAGGGAACCAAATGCAAAAAGTGATAATGATCTATCTTTTTTATTTTTAAAATTTTGAAAATGTAAAAAAAAAATAAACGAGACAGCAAACTGGACAAGTTGCCATCCCGTTCCCTCCCATCTAAGGCAAGACGGGACAGGACGGGGTGCCACCGCCCCGAACTCAACCCATTATTATCCCTAAACATATTTGGGAATATATTCATAAATAAATCAGACGATGAGCGGTTGAGTCTCATCGCCTGACACGTGCTTGGCCTTTACACTTGATTATTGTCAACTGGCGATTCTTAAATTAATTTTTCCATTTTTTTTCCCCCTTATTTTATCCTTCTTTAATTCACTAGCATTTTCGCTCTCTTTTTATTTTAGCCTTTAAAGTAAACATTGGTTTCCCAAAAGTAACAAAGGCAATAAAAGGATCCACGTTACATGAATAGAATATCTAAAGCATTTTGACTAACTTTTTTTTATTATTTATTCATATCAATTATCTTGTCGAATACGTCATGATACGAGATGGATTTATATCTGGACTAAATGGTTTCTTTTATGGTTTACTTAGAATAGTCATTAAACACAATTTTTTATTTATAATATTTATGGAAAGGAAGACTAACAGACATTTGATACTGATTAAAATCTAAATCAAAGTCAAACAATCAATATAAATCGCACATTTCAAAAACTTCTATTATAATCTATTAAAAATTTTAATTTTAATTCCCACCAAACACGCTTTAAGTCAATGAAATGGAAAGGAAAAATTTCAGCATTCCTCTCTAATTTATTGTCTGAGTAGCAAGGTGTTCTTCGACTTATAAAAAGGAGAAGTTAGTCATCAATACTTCAAATTGTTAAAGTTGCCCATATTGACTCCTAATATCCGTTAAAGGGGGACAAAAGGAAGTGCTGGATTCAAAATGGGTGTTAAAAGACTACCAACTAAACAAATAGTACACCTGAATATGAAACTCAAGATACTAATATCTTGACGTGTTAGATAATTCAGACTGACTAACGAAGCAAATATCACAGTAATTTTTCAAATTTTTACTGATACATGGAAATTGTGAAACTAAGGACTAACCAAGCAATATTCACATTTTAGAGGTAAAATCGATAAACACAATATTTTTGTTCAAAAAAATAAAAATAAAAAAACCTTAATTCATACTAACACATTCAGTCTCCAACCCAACATAAGCCCTTTACCTCCAACATGGCCACATTAGTTGTCCCCATATTTGCTATTTAACCCGCCAAATCCCAAGTCGATGACATCTCCTTCGTCCAGTTTGTATGAAAACTCTGATGGGTTATTCTTATTGTTACTCTACTTAAAATATCTATGTTGTATTTTTTAAATCTAGTTTTACAGTAGCAAGGGATTTATTATGTGACGAATTGAAAAATCATGGATCAATTCTTATTTTTTAAAGTTTGTAAATAATTTGCTGCCCATATAATAATCTTAGAGCCGTGCAATTTTGGGTCGTGCTCACAGTAGGGGGGCTCGCAGGGGCGAAGCCAGAAAATTTGTTCAATGCGGGCATAATTTCACCCACGTCGAATATTAAGTTTAGGTCATGAATTTAATGATGATAAAACTATAAAACAAGATCATGAATTTGGGCCTAAAAATAAAACCCATATAAATTAAAACATATTTTTATTCCACTTTCCCTGCTGCTAAAGGGTAAATAATAATAATAATAATAATAATAATAATAATAATAAAATGAAAATGGTTTGGACCTAAAAATTCAATCTCAACATGGCTCCGCCCATGGGGGCTCGTGCATTTTTTTAATTTTGCACGGCCCCCCTTCTTATGAGGGGTGTGTAACTGAACGTGTCAACGTCCGGGTACAAATAGCAAAATTCTGTAAGTTTTTTGAAAGAATAAGAAAGGCGAAAATTTCCAAATGCACGACTATGATTCCAAGCCTTTAGAACTTTAATGTTTTTAACTATTTTTCTGGAATATATTCTTATGCGTGCACTCTGTCCCATGGTCTGGATTATAATTACTTCCAAAGGAGGAATTAATCTATTTGTACAATTTTGTAGACAATGTTAGTTGTGGCAAAAAAGTGTAAGTTGAAAAGATGAATTATTTTTAAATTGTTCAATAATAACATGCTACGTGATATGTTGTCAATAATATTATCAAAATTATTGTACGTCAAGCATTGCTCTATTGTTAAGTAGGATTGAGAGCCAAACATTTCTAAGGAAAAAATTATAGAAAAGCATAGTAGTGGATTCAGCATTTTAAAACTTTTGAGTTGAATGCATGATCCTTGTTTAATTGTGACTACAATGAAAAATAACGAATAAGCAAGCACATATTATCCCTGTTTGATTTGGAAAAAAATCAGATTTAATAAATTTTGATGTAAGCTAATAAAATATATGATTGAAAAATTAATAAAAATTATGGATTCTATAAAACGTGTAGTTCAAAATAAGTTTGAGAAAAAATAGAAAAAATAAGGGTCAAACAAAGGCATTGTATATGCAGCTACATTCAACTTTTGATAATCATGCGCCTTGAGAGTTCGGCATCCAATCTTGCCAGTCCCCTAGATCATCAAGTCTCGATTGAAATGGGTATTGTTTTTGGCCTAAACTCGTAATTTTAAATATCATTTATAGCAGTGGCGGACGCAGACATTTAGTATTAATGGGGCACGATCAAACTTATTAAAAAGTTAAGATTATGTATACTACATGAGCACATACAAGTGATCATTGTCATAAATTCACAAATCTCACGTATATGTAAAATAACAATTCTCAAAAAATTTCAAATAATCTTACATATATGATAAATAATAATTTCCAAAGAATTTTCAAATTAAATATCGCAGATAACAAAATAATCTCAACTCTCACTCTTTCAATTGTTTGGTCATCGCTGTAATTCCATTCTAATAAAAAAGCCCAACTACAATTACTGCCTAAATCTGATTTTTGGCACTAAAAGCCACCTAAAAAAAAAAAAAGTTGGTGGGTCAAGTGACCCATCAGGACCATATATAGGTCCGCCAGTGATTTATAGTGTCTCGATGCTAAATCGACTTGATCCTTATGGTGTAATAGTGCAATTCCCAACCATGTGCAGTTGAATACTGAGCAAAAGGAGTGGCGAGCAATAGAAATGGTTGAATTCAACATCCATGATTTGGGAGGGAAGGTATATTGCATATTAGAGATGTTAACGAGTCGAATCGAATCGGCTCGTGAGCTGAAACTCAAGGCTCGAGCAAAATCAAACAGGTTTTTTTCCGAGTCCGAGCCGAGTCGAGCAAAAGCTCGACCAATAAAACAAGGCTCGATCCGAACTTTTGGCTCAGGCTTTAATGAGTCGAGCCTCAGCCCAAGCCGAACTTTTGGCATTGCTGCTACCTTTCTTAAGACATCAGCTAGCTGCCTTATTAAAATGTTGCCTTAATTACTTAATTAAAAAAAAATAAGCGTTGCCTTTTTTTTTTCTTTTCTTCGTTTGATTTTTTTTTTTTTAAAGGCTCGAGCCCCGAGCCACATGGGTCGGCTCAAGCTAAGCTCGGAACCTCAAAATGGGGCTCTACTTGAGCCTTGAGTCGAGTCGGCTTGGACTTTTTTTGGACCGAGCCACGAGCGGTCCGAGCCGGTGAGCTCAATTGACATCCCTACCGCAGACATACTATAACGTTGTGTGATTTCAACATTTTGACTTCCGAGACTAAACCCCTTCCTTTTACTTTCACATACAAGATTTGACATGGGGTATTAGTCAATAATGTCAATTTATGCGAAATTTGATGGTGACATGTAGAAATTTTACGATTGCATTTCTAGCAGGCGACTTTAATGTAAATGGTCGAAACTTGCTTAATTACTGCTATAAGAAAATGAATAATTCCATAGGTACAGGTAATAATTGACAGAAACCTGTAAGGTACCTCTTCTATGTTTGTTGTGTTAAAAATCAATGAAAAACTTTCAAGTGTCTTTCTGTAAGATTACTCTCAAGTTTTTTCTGTACTTGTAACAAAATTCAAAGAAAATTACTTCAGGAACCATTTTGAAAATTTTAACAAACTTTATTAATCGTTGCTTAACGTTAAACTGCCAAAATTTGAATCAAAAAACATGTACTATAAATGGAAGTTATTGAATTATGGGGAAATTTGGTACTGTCAGCATTTAAAGTTTCAACTTGACAAATAACAAAATTTGTAAAACATGTAGAAATCATCATAACAACAAATGATTAGGAATAAGGATAATATTATGAGATATTATGTTTTAATAGATATGGAATGTGGCAGAGTTTCATATACTTATAAGGTAAATAAAAATGCTATTTGTACATAACCTTTTTTACATCAGTTTTCACACTCTCTCACAAAGGTGTGGTCCACGATTAAAATGAGATATTATGTTTTAATAGATATGGAATGTGGCAGAGTTTCATATACTTATAAGGTAAACAAAAATGTTATTTGTACATAACTTTTTTTTACATCAGTTTTCACACTCCCCCACAAAGGTGGGGTCCACGATTAAAATATTTCACAATTGAATCAAATTAAAAAAGACTTAAAGTTAGGGATTTATCAATAGGTAATGTTGTACCAATACCCAACCAAAGAGCGACTGCAGTACCAATTAAAAAGACGGTTGTCGCTAATGGACAACGAAATGGATTTTGGAATTTATTAACATTCTCTAAAAAGGGTACTGTTAATAATCCCGCAGGTACTAAAACCATTAAAAGAACATCCAATAATTTATTGGGCACTATACGAAGTATTTGAAATACGGGAAAAAAATATCATTCAAGTAATATTTTCAAAGGGGTTGCAAACGGATATGCCGATTCACCAATCATTGATGGTTCTAGAACCGCTAAGCTTATATTACATGCAATAGTACCTAGAATTACTACTGGAAAAATATATAAAAGATCATTGGGCCATGCGGGTTCTCCGTAATAATTATGAGTCATACCTTTAGCTAATTTAGCTCTTAATACAAAATCATTCAAATCAGGTTTTTTTTTTTTTTTTATTGGGATAGGTGAATTCTTATGGATCCATCCCCCGAAATAATCGTGGATTCCACCCACTTGTATGTGTATGTGCTGTGAAAAAAAGTGTAAAAAAAAGTGTACTTGTAGAATGGTTGTAAGGTAAAATGTGCAAACATGCTAGAATTACAATACCTTGTACAACTTGCTTGACAAGGTGGCCAATTGACAAATGTTGTACAAATAGAATAATTCAAAAACGTGATATAACTAAGGCCTCGTTTTTTTTTCATTTCCATTCTTTGACTACAAAAATAAAAAATATTACCGTTATCCATTACATAAAGCCACCATATTTGACTTCATCTCTCTTGTATGTGTCCAGTAACAACTATATTTTTCATTTTCACTCTTACAAAAATGGGTACTAAACGGGGCCTAAAAGTATTATTTTATGGAAACATCCGTGTGACCGCCTCTATTTAAGCGACTAGAAAGTATTGTGACCGACTAAAAAAAATTGATAGTTTCAGATTTTGTTCAATAGATGTCTGAAATTGTGACTTCAATGTGAAGATTCGCATATTACAATGTAATGCTATTCTTTTTGATTATTTATTATACTATATTGGATGAAATTATGGATTAGCAATTGCAAACCTCACTCTGAAATGTGGAATATTGAATAGAGTAATGCCATTCATAGTCACTTACTCCGGTAGTTTTTCTACATAACATCCTACACGACGGTTTGTGATTTGATGCATTAATGTAGTAACTTTTTTTTTGTCTTACATATCAAATTATTAACTGTCACATATATGTCAAATAGGATGACTGTAATGGTGAGAGACTACAAATTAGCATTATTTTATTGAATGAATGGCAATGGGAGGTAGTCTCTATTTTAAAATAACTTTCTCTTTGCAATTCGCTGGAAAAGGCGGATGATGTTTAAATGGATCATTTGTACAACTGTTTGGAAAGAGAGAACTTATGAATTTAATTTTCAATTATTTAAATTAATTAATTTCATTAACATCTGATTTTTAAATTAATTTTTAATGACAAGATTTTACAAAACTTTTGCTCTTGGGCTTGAGGTAGAGTAAAGCTGGGATATGGGAGAAAGCCCAGATCAATGCCTAGAATGTTTTCTATTTGGGCTTTTAATGAGATTTTGAATAAGGGCACTCCCCTCTCCTATAGCATTCTTAGCAATCCATTGATGGTTCTCCGATCTGAAACTGAAATCGCTCGGCACAAATTGGTTTCAATCTTAGTGACAGGATAAAAAGAAAGCTGTTCGCGCGTTCGTTAATTCGTCGGAGAGGAATACAAGAAGAGAAGGGGAAGATGAAGGCCAAGAATTTCAGGAAAAGAAGTGCACCCGCCGCCGAAGAGGAAGATTCCGACCCAGAGAGAAGGTGCCTTTATTGATTTCATTTCACCAATAGCGTGGCTTATTATTCATAAGCTAACAGTTTTGAAAATTTATTTATCTGTGTTTAAGTCACTGGGGTTTTTAATTTCTTGTATATAAATACTATTGAAAAAATGAATTTGATCAGATTGGCGTTGGAGGAGGTTAAATTCCTTCAGAGGCTGAGGGAGAGAAAATCCGGAATGCCGGCTTTACCCACAGCCACACAGGCTGCCGCCACTGCAGGTGGTGCTGAAGCAAGCAATGCTAGTACAGGCCGTTTGGCTCGCAAAGTCAATGACAAGAATGAGGGGGACGGGGAGAAGGATGACTTGGTATTGCAGGACACCTTTGCTCAGGAAACTGCTGTCATGGTCGAAGACCCCAATATGTATGTAATCTCCTGCTGCCCTTTGTTTTTAACTGCATTTCAGGGAGAAGATGCGGGCTTCCCTTTGAACTATAATCGATTTTAGTAAAAAACAAATCATTATTCCTTCGAGTCGCTTGCTTTCAATCTGTATTATTCTTCATGAAGAAAGGAATTTCTCAATTTCAGTTGCTTTTGAGGTATACTGCTTTAATATTTCAGCTTGAATTTGCTATATTCTAAGCTTTACACTTCATCTTCTTCCAAGTCCTCTTATTTCGTACTTTTGATTTGTATTGAAGCCTGCCAAATTGGATGGTTCAGTAAGCACTTGCTTCTGTCTTGTTGCACTGCCAAATTATGAATGACACGTTGAAGCATTTGAAAATTGCTTCTTTGCATTTCAGGGAGAAGATACGGGCTTCCCTTTGAACTAGAATCGATTTTAGTAAAAAACAAATCATTATTCCTTCTAGTTGCTTGGAAGCCTGCCAAAGTGGATGGTTCAGTAAGCACTTGCTACTGTCTTGTTGCACTGCCAAACTATGAATGACACGTTGAAGCATTTGAAAATTGCTTCTTTGCATTTCAGGGAGCAGATATGAGCTTCCCTTTGAACTATAATCGATTTTAGTAAAAAACAAATCATTATTCCTTCTAGTTGCTTGCTTTCAATCTGTATTATTCTTCATGGAAAAGGGAATTTCTCAATTTCAGTCGCTTTTGAGGTATACTGCTTTAATATTTCAGCTTGAATTCGCTATATTCTAAGCTTTGCACTTCACCTTCTTCCAAGTTCTCTTATTTCGTACTTTTGATTTGTATTGAAGCCTGCCACATTGGATGGTTCAGTAAGCACTTGCTACTGTCTTGTTGCACTGCCAAATTATGAATGACACGTTGAAGCATTTGAAAATTGTATTAACACTAGTTTACTAAAAATAGTTACTTGTTTAGAAACAGTATCGAGTAAATTGTTTATCAAGGAATTTACACTTAAAGTTCTCTGAAAAACTTTTATTGTGGGGTTCTTGGTGGATTTTTTTATATTGTCGTATGGATTCTTGGCTTTACCGCTGCAGCTTCAACACTAGTGTATATTTGCTACCCCTTTCCTTTATTTTTTAATGACAGGCTGAGATATGTTGAACAAGAATTGGCAAAGAAAAGGGGCAGGAACATTGATGCAACGAATCAAGTAGAGAATGACGTGAAACATGCAGAAAATGAATTATACAAAATTCCAGAGAACCTGAAAGTGAGTGTCTTGAATTTTATTTACCCAGTCT